TTAACAATTCAAATATTTACTTGATGTAGTAATTATTAAGATCAGTATAGGGTTGTGAAGATTGTTAAGTTTAGATTGATATAATAAATGGAACAATGTTAGATCACCATTGAAAACTTGGAAGCACTAGATGGTTTCAAGATAGATTTCCTGGGGTTCTAGTGAGAAGCTGTGATAAGTGGAGTTTGACGGTTTTTGTTGTGAGGTATTTAATCGTTGAAGGTAATGGAGGACGATCATGCAATATCATGGATTGGTTGGATTTACACATGTAAACCGTTGAATGCCTGACGATTGGTCTAGAGGTCAGGCGTTCGCGTGTGAGACCGAAGATTTTGGGTCCGAGTCCAAAGCGCAGGATTGTGGACGCATTGCTGAGGAGTCCCATACTAGGACGGAACGGCTATTGTAACTTAACCGTAACCTTTGGTACTCTTTTTCTACCCCAATGTCCAGTTTGGACATAATTGTATTTTCCTAATTGTTTGTGCGTTGTGATCGTGTTAGCCACCTATTGATTTATGTATCTTTTCACATTAATCTGAATTGGAAACTGGTAATCAGGATTAAATCGTGTAGCGTTCCAGTTGACTCGTCTTCTCTTTCTCTCGCTTGTCAACCAACTATGTGATCGGATAGTTTTCGTCTCTCTGCCCAAGATCGTCAATCTCAATTCGGAACCACACATTCCTAGCCATAAGATTAGGCCATTTGACCTATCGTGTCAGGGCCATAACCTAGATCGAAACGAGTTCTCTCCTGTATAATATTGGGTAGAAAGATCAAGGATATAACAAAAGTGGAGACGGAGATCTTGTATTACTTTGATTGCCCAAGAAAAGGAAATGTTTGTATCTTTGGGCGACCTTGAGACTACTGTACCAATTCAGCAGGAGCAGAGTGATGCAAATCAAGTGAAGTTTTGGATGCACTAACGCAGAAGCTCTCACCTGACTCGAATTCAACCTTTCAGACAGATAAATATGAAAGCATAGGTAATTCCACTTATGAATTCAACTATGATACTGAATCTTGTACCATGTTCGATTCCTGGTTTCATCGTTTCAAAGATATATTCTCATAAGCCTGCCTCTGAATCTGTTCAGTTTTCATATAAGGTCATCCATTATTACAGTCTTAATATAAGCGCAGTGGAATACATTTACTATGGAACACATATTTTAGGCTTTTAATTAACTTAGAAACGATTATGAGTGTTGGTACTGAAAGACTATCAGCTATTAGTTTGACCATTATGAACGAATTGACGCTGTTACTAGGCACGACAATAACACGAGAAACCCAATCGACAACAACAATAAGCACAACACTTGAGAAAATGTTTATTCGAGAATTTATTGTAAAGTATTAGAAACAAACGAACAAAGAACACTTTCCATAGATTTGCTGTGCTGATTCATGAAATACATGGACATACAATAATGTAACTTAAGATTTCTGAGAAAATTTCTGTTAATAATGCACTCAATGAGTTGTATATTTAATTGTAAGACCATTAATGCTGTTCTTAACACCATTTTGAGCACCTACTTCAAGAACAAGTAGGTATTTTAATCGTTTTATAAGAATTAAATCATTCCTTTCTGATGACTGGTATTCCTGTTAATTTTTGATCAGTTGACCACTAACTATGTGGCATACTGACCTTTTTCATTCTGGTTAATAAATTAAATCTACTCTAGTTCAGTTGGAGAATCTATTTACCCAGACACAAGACTTAATACTGACGACAAAGGTCGAATATGAAAGATCCAAGACCATATTGGTTGATTGCTGTAACCAATTTAAAAACAATAAGCATCACACAAGTAGTACATCAAGTGATTAACATTTAAAGGCTATCCGGAAACTAGAATCGAATGAGCACATTCTTATCAATTAACCTGATAGAGGATCGCGCACTGTAATTCTAAACAAGACAGGTTACACGGACAAGATGAATACCTTACTGGGGGATCAAACTAAATTTCTAAAGCTTGGTTCACGTAAAGACCTCAGTGAAAGGACAGAACGTCAATTAGTTACAACATTAAAGTTTTTAAAACAACATCAATACATCTCTGAGTATACGTAAAATTGGCTCAAGTGTCCTGGAACACATACCCCTTGATTCTATGGACAACTTATTATTCATAAACCTGAGGTTTCTTTACTCCTAATTCTGGATATGTCAAACTCATCCTATCATTCAACAGTAAAATGGTTGGTGAAATTATTATAAACATTACACCAAGAATTGGTTGGGCACAGCGTCAAAGACGTATTTAAATTTGTGGGTACATTTTAAAATATGATTACAAATGGCAAAATCATGTCATCACTAGACATAGCATATTTGTTCACTAACATCCCATTGACTGAAAATATAGATTACTTATGTGAACAATTGCTAGGAAAGAAAAGTGAGATACACGTCCCAATAAATAAAATAAGGGAGCTTCTGTTGAAATGTATTATAAATATCTAGGTTATGTTTAACAATGAATTTTACAAACAAATAGATGGAGTAACAATGGTATCACCACTAGGCCCGATCCTTGCTAATATTTTTCTGGACAAACTAGAAAATGGACCGTTGAAAGACGTCCTAAATAAGCTAGATTGTTACTATGGATACACAGATGATAGACTAATCGTGTGTGATGAAAGTATCGACGAACAAGCTCTGTTGAAGTCTATCCAGCCAACAAATTCACCAGCGGAGAGGAAAAGAACAATGGTATAGCTTTTCTTGATATCCTACTTTTTAGAAGGATAGACGGTTTCGTAAAAAGAAATATGTTTTGAAAGAGTACATGGACGGGTCAGTATGCCTATTTCCATAGCTTTACAGCTCTTTAATACAAAATAAATTTGGTTAAATGTCTCAGCCACAGAATCAAACTATTGTGTTTTGAAGATATTGTAGATAGTGAAATAGAGACACCAAAGAACACATTACGAAATAACGGTTATCCAGACAATTTTGTCAGAAATTTCTATTAGAAGGTATTAAAAAAAGAAGAAACTGTGACTCGGTCAGTAAAAAGACCTGTATCTGAAACTGGACAAAGTAGAGACATTTTAACACGTCGACTCAAAAGATCTGTCGAAAGGATTTTTCACGCCGTCAAGTTACACATAATTTTCTCAACCAAACCAGTACTTGAACAACAAATCAAGGATAAGTTACCGGCAATGGGCTCCTCCATGTGTGTATACCGATTCAACTATTCCTGTGGAGCTAGTTACATAGGCCGTACTCAGAGAGCTTTGTCATTGCGCGTTCCTGAACATGTACCATCATGACTGGGAAAAGGAGTTACTAAATCGATTAACAGCACTATTCTTTCTCACTTGGTGTATACTGAAGATTGTATACAAATAAATTAAGCTTTCTCTGTTTTATATCAAGTTCCAAAAAATCTACCTCAATGAGTTAGATTACGACTACTCTACATAGCCGAAGTCATCTAGATCAATTCCAAAAATCTGAACTTATGTATTCAGAAAAAATATATCCAGCCTCTATGTTTACCTTGGCCTACGACTGAAGCACCGGATACCTGAACCGGATATTATAAACCTCTTACTCCTCTCCCCATTTGTTGGTTACATCTTTCTTAATCTTTACATTCATCTTTCCAAATTCACATGACTTCTTTCTATCGTAATCATCTTGATAACACCCCTCCAATTACATATTATATTCACACAAAGATATTATTACTACTGTTACTATTATCATTGTTACCTCAATTAACATTCACACTATTTTTTTTCATTTTAATTTTGTTATATTACTATTATACTGTTTGTGACTGGACACTTTACTCCAAATCATTCTGACCTTTATACAATGACCTTTCTAATTTACAAATAACACAATTTTGAAATAGTTATATCGTAACCAAACGCAAACATTCACAATTTTTAACATATAACATTGTCAAATTGATTAATATATGCCTTATTTCGGCCTTTGTAAAATAATTATGAACCTACGAAGTTATTGCAAAAACATTCTTCACTTTCGAAATATCTGTTGACTGTAGACTGATCTAAATGTTACCCCTTAAAAACGATCGTTTAAGATTATTGAAATTTACTTCGGATAGATTTTCTAATATTTCACCCGCTACCCATGAAATTAAATTCCAGTAGCTGTTTGGACTTATTGATCAGAAGTGATAGTTAAGATACTATTTCACTTTACCCCTAGTTTATATATATTACGGAATCATTCCATCCATTCAATATGGTAATCTTTCTTACAGTTAATACATTTTATTTTATAGATACTGTTACATTTTTCAGAGAACGCGATAATATCAAAATCTCAGAAAAGGGTTTTTGTGTATATTATAGTAATTTAATAGTTGAATTCATGAGTCCATTGAAGCTAGACCACCATGGAAAACCTGGAAACACTGGATGACAATTTCGTTCTAGTTTGGGATTCCTTAGCAGTGCGTATCCACGTTCCCACATTGCAAGATTCGAACCCAGGACCTATCGGCTTCGCGCACGAATGCTTAACCTATGGATCGTAGAATTAAATGATTTCATAGTGTTATTCAATCACTTATTAATTACAACAAATAAATATTGTATTATCATTTATTTGTTATCAAAAATACATTACCATTTTTTGATGGCATGAAATATGATGACGATATAAAATAGATTTTGTACTTTTATACTCACTGGATACTACTACTACTACTACTACTACTAATAATAATAATAATAATAGTAATAATAATAAGCATAATGTTTCATCGTACGATTAGCTCATATAAAGTTCGAATGTAGATATTACAAAAAACAAATAATAATAAAATGAATTAATTGTAAGTTTGTAGATTGATTGTTATATTCATCGACTTTGATCTAAATAATCATTCAATACAAAGTATACATGTTTTTAAACAAGTTGGTCAAATTATCTGACAAACTATTATATAAACATATATAGCTTATATTCATTCATGATTTTTGAATCTAATGAGAATGAATTAATTTTGGCTATTTAATTTGTGAATTACTTACTTATGCCTGTTACCCCTCGTCGAGGAGCATAGGCCGCCCATCGGCAGTCTCCATCTAACCCTATCCTATGCAATCCTTTCCAGTTCCTATTCATATCTGCTTCCAATTCTCAAAGCAATGTGTTCTTTGATCTTCCTCTTTTCTGTTTCTTTTTTTCAGGATTCCAAGTTAGTGCTTTCCTTGTGATGCAGCTTGATGTTTGCCGTAATGTATGTCCTATCCATTTTCAACGTCTTTTCTTGAATTACTAAAATGAATTATTTGATAATATTGTTTTATTCAATACTGGTCTATCGCATAGTTTAACTGTTAATCTTTCGTTACCGTGCCAAACTAAATCGTTTATGCATAATTCATGTAGAAGTGAGCTTACTTCTGACTGATCGTTTTCATAATCCGTTTTATGCAATTAAGCTTTAACTATGTGATTGGCTAATGTTATGACGAGACAAATATAAAAAAGTTGTGACTTTTAGAACTAGATTTCAGATTATTGTTATCTGTATCTTTATTCTGTAATTAGTAGGTAACTGTACTCCCCATATTGTAAGCTTTCGATGGACGCATTAACCATTGTTATACGTTTTACTATTTCTTCGTTATTGTTAATTAATAATGCACTGTTTATCCATACTCTACCACCTATGGTATGATTGTGTTCAAAGTATTACTTACCATTTGGTGTGCTATGTGGTCAGGCGTTTGAAGTATATTATATTATATTGAATAACGACTGAATTGATTACAGTAGCAAACTAGTTTGCTTCCCATTTGGGTCTTCTGACTGACTACTAGGTTACAAGGAGCTCGAGAATCAACAAGAGTTGGGTTCTTGTTCACCGGTCGCTGTGTTGTTCGGTAAATAGAAAGTCACCAGTCCTATCAGAGATTTGGTGATCTAATCGAAATTACAATTCGGCAATATAGCACGTGATATCGGTTGGCATTCTAAGCCATAATACTTGACTTTTTCTTTGTTGAATAATAAACTGAACCTATATAGATATGTTGTCTATATTGGGAAGGCATTGTTGATGTCGTCTTGTACGACTATGGTTTTGCAACTAAATCATCCAACCCAGGGAATAATAAGCTACCAAAAACACCCACTCGAGGCTCAAATATCTAGCATTTTACGGTCTATCATCAAATGACTGTGTGAACATTGTAGTTTAATGACTTTGTCTCTCCATTCTATGTATTAATACAAATAACTGAAGTGTTAGATATTACATCCTTAAAGAAATAAGCGTATAGAACAGATTTTCCTCACGAACTGATACCAAGGTTAGTGTTGGAACTGTTCAGAACTGAGTTGTTGAGTCGGCTTCTGAGAACTACAACGGAGCCTCCAGAGGCCCTAAAGGAGCCGAAGAGTTTCAGCCAACTAGAGTATGAGGGAGCTTTCTAGAATATTAACGTGGTATGCTATTATTGGTCAGTAGCACAATATGCCTTTTAGCGAATTGGCCAAAATATAATGTTGATTTGACAAATGCTAATAATCTATAAATACCCATGTTTTTCTGTGCAAAAATGAACCTTCGGAGTAAAGTGCTTTTCGCTTAATTTGCGCCTTTTCTCTCGTGTTCAGGTCGCTGCGTAGTTTTAGCTTGCGGGTTACCAGAATAGCTTACGAACTGAATAAAGCGTTCAAATTAGCAAGATTTATCAGAAGTATCGCTCAGCTCTATATTTTTATTGAAAGACTATTCAGCAATGTACGCTATTGATTCCATTTGAAGTGAAAACAAGGAAAATCAGGTGTTGTGGTGAGTATGACACCCTTAGATTACTATTCAGCATACAATGATTTCCTGTCCGTGTTTTGTGGTTATTTCAATTTAGAACATACAGGTCCCAGGATAGAACAATCATTTCCAATCTGTCATATGCACTTCATAATAATCCCATAGAGCTATAAAAAATTATCAGACTTAGGTCATAATACACTACAGACAGGTGAACATAGTTCAGCTAAGATTGCAAATATTTTTGGTTAAATAATTCTTGTTCATATAAACAGTCAGAGATCTCTGATGACCACAAGTTATACGACAATAAACTAGATAGTCTTCAGTTTATTGCCAGTCTTAATAGTATTTATAATTAATCATTTTTGAGTTTATTATTTTGCATACTCGCAATATTTACTTTACGTCTTGAATCAATGAACTCCATTACATCATAGAATATATAGGTAGATTTATCTCTTTATTTGTTCATGGACCTGTATTATCCATTGTGCAATTTAGTGGTACGGTGATGGATGGATATTGCAGCTTTCTGTATCAGTAGGTCATATAGTCGTAATGCTAAAGAGTCTGAAGATTTTAGTCTATCAAACTGTTTTGATGTGATTACAGAATTATTTCGTAATTTTCTAGGATGTCTGTAAGTTGTCTTTAGAATAATTTGATCTTGTTTTTTCCCTCAAGCTTTGAAAACTTGGTATTGTACCAGGTAATATATTCTTCATTTCATTTGGGTAATGCTGTTGATCACCCGGCTAAAGGAACAGGAGTTATGCTATTAGACATTTCATGTATTTTAATTTGGAGATAGGAGATAAACTATCAGTTCAATGGAGAATCTGGGAAAAATTCAACTGAAGTTTATTGATCTTAACTATGTATAACTTCCTCTAAGTTTGTATAATCTTATTGGTTACTGAAAAATATGTAATTTTGATCGACAGTCGGTCATTTATACCTAAACTTTTCATTCGTAAGATGAACAAAATTGTTTTGAATGTGTGTTTACACAAATCCGATCGGTCTGATTATGAGAACCTCAGTTAAACGATATTTAAACTTATAGAAATAACTGTTAACTCAATAAGCAGCTGAGATTCAACAAGACATTGGATTTTACTATCGTTAGAATACTGATTTTGACTTATAAAAGACAAAAGTGCAGACTCCGTTACTTACAAGATACGTGTTGCTAATTATTCAAATTATTGAGGACAAAAATCTTATTATACTGAAACATCGCCTAGTGCATTGACCAGGTCGGCATAATTGTATACATATATATTGATAATGCTGAAGTAGTAGAAGATAACTTCGAATTCAAAATAGAACGCTTACTTGAAAGTAGTTGTACGCACAATAATGTCTTTACTAATCGTAATAAAAATGTATTTTAGGAGTTAGCACTTGATTAGACAAAGAAAATACAACAAAGTACTGGTAGTGTGTTCGAAATTATAGACACGAAAATTAAAAAGAATTATATGAAATTATACCTAAATAAGTTACGAATAACCTTCGTAAAATATTATCCAGTGCCAAATTCATGATATGAAATAACTAGATGAATCGATCCATTGTTGCCTTAACTCTTTTTCTTTATTGATCTTCTATGTGAATATCAGATACTTTATGATTCAAATAATAGAAACAAGACTAATATTTAATATCAGAAGAGGTTTTTATGCATATTATATTAATTTTAATAGTTGAGGTCATAAGTCAATTGAAGCTAGACCACCATGGAAAACTTGGAAGCATTGGACGACAAGTTTGTTCTAGTGTGGGACTCCTCAACAACGCGCATCCACGATCCGGTCCCACGGAATTGGGACCCCGGACCTATCAGTCTCGTGCGCGAACGCTTAACACCTACATCACTGAGCCGGCCGGCTCCAACGGTTTAATGCCTAATTCAACTAATCCACGAAATTGAGAGACACATCCACCATTATCATCAGTGAGTTACTATCTCATACCAGACCCGGGTGAACTCTACTGGTCACTGCTTTACACTAGAACTCCAGGATATACCTGTTGAAGCCAGTCACTAGTGAGCATATGTAGATTAATATCAGAAGGGGGATATCTGTTGTTAGTTATGTCCATGGCTAACCAATCAAATCGTTGTTTAAGCGCCCACCACGTTGATCTGGTCTGATGTGTTTGTAAACTATCCCTGGTGCATGTGACATACCAATTGAAAGACATTATGTTCCTATTATATTAGTGTGACTCATAGTTTCATTCATTTCGATAAGACACCCAATACTGGTCGAAACAGATAAAGCCTAAAGCCGAATTGTCCTTGTTCTGACTATAGCTTTCACATAGACTCTGTGATCGCTAGTATCGCGTTTACGGTTCTAGTAGTACATCTGTAGGACAAATTAAATCCTACAATAGTAACTCACTGATAATGGTGGATGCATCGCTCAATTTCGTGAATTGGTTGAAGTTAGACATTAACACTGTTGGATGCCGGCTCAATGGTCTAGTGGTTAAATGCTCACTCGAGGGACTGTTAGGTCTTGGGTTCGAATTCCGTGGGACGGGACCGTGGATGCGGATTGTTGGAGTCCCACACTAGGACGAAATTGTCGTCCAGTGCTTCCAGGTTTTCCATGGTGGTCTAGCTTCAAATGACTCATGATCTCAACTATTGAAATTAGTATTTAATAGTTTATTCGCGTATTTAAGCGAACTTATTGAAAATTTCTTTCTTTCGAAAAAGATCTTACCCAATTGTTTAATATACTTTTGTGATTGGAATTCCATCAAAACTGTTGTGGTGTTTGTAAAAAATGATAAATATATTGTATGTAGTTACCGCCGCGAGAAGGACTTCCCTGGAAATGGCTGTATACGCGTGGCCATATGAGAGCATTTAGAGAGGGAGCGGACTTCCCCACCCTCGGCCGTACCAGAGCATTTGGGGGTATCAAGCTTACTATAAGGTTATAAAGTGTTAGGTTTTGACCCTGTTTGAAGCTTCGGGGATATGATGTGCACATGGCTGAGAATGATCAAATTAGGACTATATAGCTGCCCAGTTTTCACTGCCTTTCAGATGGTGTTAGTGAATGACGAGAGCTACCTTCTTTTTAATAGTTTCGGTTTGTTGAGAAAACTTTAACCACATAAAGTCTTCATTTGTTAATATAGTTATTAGATAATTACTATCTTTCACAGATTAATGATCATAAAATGTAATCTTTAAAATTTTTCATCATGTTTTTATCACTGATAAGTCCGAATTCTCACATGAAGCGAGTTACACTGGTCGAAGCATATGAATATCTTAAAGTGTGACCGTGAAAATGTGTGGTTAAGATGGTAAATAGTTCAACTTCGTATATATTTCGAAGGTTAGAGTATTAAACAGTAATGAGATGTTTCTATGTTTCTTCTTAGTATTTACGAAAAGAACTTATGTACTGGAAATACAAAGCCATTTTATTATTTATGGGAATACCCTATTTCTTTAAAAAAATACTGGATCTAATTGACTCTGTAAGAAAAGAATACGTTGCTTAGTAAGAAATTCTCGAATGTGTATGTATTTTTTTATTAATAACGCTGACTAAAATTGAGGTGTGCATAAAACATTCCCCCTATTTATAACAATTCCCGTAAGATTTTTATTATGTTAATTCAATATGGTTATGGAGAATTTCTCCTTAAGATACCCTGGGTTTGCTCCATGCCAATTTACAGGAACTATCTTAGAACATTTCTAAACATGTTTGGATAGGTTTTTGTCAATAGACTTGGGATATAGCTTGTTTGTTCCATTTTTTAAGTAAGACCCCTCTATTTGTGAAAGCTAAGCATTGTGCATCAACTTGAAAAACAAAACTCCAGATACTATTAGTGAGAAGATACTGGCAACATGAAAAGTAAGGGATTAGTAATAATAATATCAACAATAGCAGAAATACATGTACATACTCACACGCACCTCATTCGTAATTTGAAATTACAAGATATTAGTGAAAACATCACAGTACTACCTTCTAAAAAAATAAGTAATATATATGCATATAACTCAAAAGAAGCGGTAAATTAGCAGAAACACAACACAACAACCAATGACTAGCCCCAAAACAATTGAGTCTTGCTTGTGTTTCCAGTCAATTTTATTGATCAGTTTCTTTACCTGTGGAAAACGGGAACTTAAATTCGATAGACCTGTTGAGGCAGTGCGTAGTGCGAAGCGTTGGGCACGTAATGCGGCTCGTATTGTTGATGCTGCAGCTAAATGTTCATCCAACAGACGATTAGAGCGATGGTATTTTTCTTGTTCATCTAGAAGTAAACGAGTTGAACTAGATATATTTGACTGTAAACCGGAACGTTGATTACCACCGGAAGAATCTACATCAGATTGAGGCTTTGAAGTAAAATCACCGCTTAGATTTACAGTTGTAGAGTTTGTGTCTCGATAAACCTATATTTTTAAAGAACAAAATAACGTGAAACACATAGAAAGAGGAAATACTAAGGAATATAAAGAACAAATATCGTTTGTAATAAGCAACGCATCAAAAGATGTGATGTCGTTTTAAACGCCAAGTGAAGACTTCAGTTTATATTCAAGGTTGTTTTTAGATTACTACATTGTCTGCTCCACATCTCAGGACTCACGGATTGACTAACCTACAATACATAGCCTTAATTGTGCCTACTACTCTTATAACAGCGACAGTGTGTATTACAGAAGCTAAAGTGGAAGACACGCATATTGAAACCAGAATCTTATGCACAGTAGTTAGAATGTTCAGCATTCAACTACTGAGTATCAGTCCAGAATCCACTTTACCTACATTGATTTGGAAGACTGTTTCGTATCACTAGCCCTTCTCGGATGTTATGGCTTGAAGACAAGTACGCAAACTAGTACTGAGTTGGATTTAATATTTAATACTGGTGTTGAGAGCTTACCCAAACATTCTTGCAATGTCACTCAAAGAGTACAGATGTTGAATTTTGCTAATAATTCTACCAAACACAACTGTGTATTGGAAATCAATGAAAGCAGACAGACAACAGACTATTTTCAAGCGAAATATCCATAAATTATAATCTCCGTTTTGTTGATTGGAGATCATTATTGCGTGTGAGCTGTGAGATGACATAGTTTTATTTGGTGAAGACGCTGACAAAATGCAGAGTCTTCTGACCACTCTAAGCAACAATGCAAGCATGTTCGGGATGCGATTCTCCCCCTCGAAATGCAAAATGTTGCTTCAGGATTGGGTTACATCGACACCCGAACTAGTGATAGGGAGTGAAGTAGTTGAGTGTGTCGACCGCTTCACTTATCTTGGAAGTCTCATCAGCCCTTGTGGTCTGGTGTGTGACGAAATCTCAGCACGGATACAGAAGGCTCGACTAGCTTTTACCAACTTGCGTCATTTATGGCGTAGGCGAGATATCCGTCTATCAACCAAAGGACGTGTTTACTGCGCAGCAGTTCGTTCCGTCCTACTTTATGGCAGTGAAACATGGCCGGTAAGAGCAGAGGATATTCGTAGGTTATTAGTATTTGATCATAGGTGTCTTCGAAACATCGCTCGTACATCCTGGGACAATCGAGTAAGCAACACACTTGTTAGGAAACGGGTACTAGGTAAGGATGGCAAATCAATTGATGAAGTAGTGAAACTTCATCAGTTGAGATGGCTGGGACACGTGTTACGTATGCCCAACGACCGACTGCCTCGACGAGCGATGTTCAATGGTATAGGAGTAGGTTGGAAGAAAGCTAGGGGTGGCCAGACCAAAACATGGCACAAATCCATGAAGTCACCGACAAGTGGACTGAGCCATGTTGGTAGGTGTAGAGTACCTGGTTGGGGACCGCGAGCTGATGGCAGCCGATGGTTAGAGACCCTGAATGACATGGCTCAAAATCGTTTGCAATGGCGCAGGTGCATCCATTCTTTATGTTCTACCAAATTCTGATCTTCTGAATTCTTCATGTCCCGCTCTTTTCTCTTTCCAAATTTATTTCATTGGATTATACTCTTTGAATAACATCTCCAAACATTAATCTTCCCGATTACTGCTTATACCCTTACCGCTTCTATCACTACGGGATTTGAATCGACAACTGCATCTCTGTACTAATGTGGTATGGCAACTTGAACTGATGTACGTACGTACGAAGTTCTACGTTGTTACTGACTGACTGACTGTGAGCTGTGAGACTGTTTAGTCACTAAGAAGAGACAAAAACGTGTCGTTTCAGCGAAAGAAAATGAAAAGCCATGATAGATACTATTTGATACAAGCGATTCATAATCTTAAAAGGTCAGTCAGTCAGTCAGTCAGTAACAACGTAGAACTTCGTACGTACGTACATCAGTTCGAGTTGCCACACCACATTAGCACAGAGATGCAGTGGTCGATTCAAATCCCGTAGTGGTAGAGGTAGCAAGAGTATAAGCAGTAATCGGGAAGATTAGGGTTTGGAGATGTTATTTAAAGAGTATAATCCAGTGAAAGAAATTTGGAAAGAGGAAAAAAGGGACATGAAGAATTCAGAAGATTAGAGTTTGGGAGAACACAGAGAGTGGATGCACCTGCGCCATTGCAAACGGTTTTGAGCCATGTCATTCAGGGTCTCTAACCATCGGTTGCTGTCATCTCGCGGTCCCCAACCAGGTATTCTACACCTACCAACATGACTCAGTTCACTTGTCAGTGACTTCATGGACTTGTGCCATGTTTTGGTTTGGCCGCCCCTAGCTTTCTTCCAACCTACTCCTATACCACTGAACATAGCACGTCGAGGCAGTCGGTCGTTGGGCATACGTAACACGTGTCCCAGCCATCTCAACTGATGAAGTTTCACTACTTCATCAATTGATTTGCCATCCTTACCTAGTACCCGTTTCCTAACAACTGTGTTACTTACTCGATGGTCCCATGATATATGAGCAATGTTTCGAAGACACCTATGATCGAATACTAGTAACCTACGGATATCCTCTACTCTTACCGGCCATGTTTCACTGCCATAAAGTAGGACGGAACGAACTGCTGCGCAGTAAACACGTCCTTTGGTTGATAGACGGATATCTCGCCTACGCCATAAATGACGCAAGTTGGCAAAAGCTAGTCGAGCCTTCTGTATCCGTGCTGAGATTTCGTCACACACCAAACCACAAGGGCTGATGAGACTTCCAAGATAAGTGAAGCGGTCGACACACTCAACTACTTCACTCCCTATCACTAGTTCGGGTGTCGATGTAACCCAATCCTGAAGCAACATTTTGCATTTCGAGGGAGAGAATCGCATCCCGAACATGCTTGCATTGTTGCTTAGAGTGGTCAGAAGACTCTGCATTTTGTCAGCGTCTTCACCAAATAAAACTATGTCATCTGCATATTCTAAGTCAACAAGTGAACCTCCTGGTAGAAGTTCAACCCCTGTAAATTTAGATGAGGAGAGTGTTATCTCTAAAAGTACGTCAATGACAAAGTTGAACAAGAATGGGGAGAGTGGACAGCCCTGACGAACACCACTTGAGGTGATCAATTCTGATGACAGTTCGCCATAAGCTCTCACTCTACCAGTTGTGTTCGAGTAGAGAGCCTTTATAAGGTTAATGTACTTCTTTGGTACTCCTTTCAGTGACAAACACTGCCATAGAACCTCACGATCAACGGAGTCGAATGCCGCCTTAAGGTCGAGAAATACTACCATTGTGGGGCGTCTGAATGTGTGTCTCTGTTCTAGAACCTGACGTAGTGTGAATATCTGATCTATACAACCACGTCCAGGTCGAAAACCAGCCTGGTTTTCTCTAGTCTGCTCTTCACGAGCTTTAGTTAGGCGTCGAAGTATTATTGAGGCTAATATTTTAGACACTATATTAGTCAAACTGATTCCTCTGTGATTGTCACAAGAGGACTTTTGTCCTTTCTTAAAAACTGGCACAATCAGTGATTGAGACCAGTCAGATGGGATTACGTCCAGTTCCCAAATTCTACCTAAGACCTCGGTTAATCTCACTGCTAATACTGGACCACCATCCTTAAAAATCTCAGGAGTAAACCTGTCAGGGCCTGCTGCTCTCCCTCGTTTCAGATTTCCTATGGCTTTTTCAACTTCGTAAAGGGACGGAGGACTTACATTAACTTGCCATTCAGGTTGACTGGAGATCGTGGGAAACCGAAGTGTGGCTGAAGGCCAGTTGAACTGATCCCTAAAGTGTTCTGCCCATCGATCCAATCTCCTGGATTGAGAATGAATAATATGTCCATCTTTCTCTGAGATTGTTTCGCTAACGGTCGGGTTCCTAATTCCGGTTTCCTTAACGAGTCTAAACAATTGTCTGCTATTACCTATTGCCGCTGCCTTTTCCATCTCTCTTGCTTTCGCTACCCACCACTGTTCGCGATCATTGCGTAGACTTCTTGTCAGCTTGCGCTTAAGCTGACTCCGCTCTTCATTATGTTCAGAGCCAGGTGGAATGAGTTTTCGAGCATCTATCAGTGCGATAGATGCTGCTGAGATCCAGTGTTGCTCCCTAACTTTACGGTTTACCTTACTAGCAGATATCACTGCTGTTTCCACAGCTTTTCGGATATCGTTCCATGCTGCCTCGGGGTGGGCATCACATACATGGCTGCCTAACTGTTTTCCTAGTTGTTCCTGAAATATACTCTTAGCTTGACTATCATTAAGTAGGGCCCTAAGAGGTTTCCTTGCAGGATCTTTCCTACGTCCAGTAAGACGCAAGCAAATACGCGCTCGTACTAGAGCATGATCTGAATCTAAGCATGTGCTCCAGAATGAGCGACAGTCTTCTATCGAGCCCCTCCATCGGTGGCTGATAGCGATGTGATCTATTTGGGTCCAACGTTGGGACGAATTAGGGGGTCGCCATGTTAAAAGATGTTTTTCCTTATGCTTAAAGTTAGTATTTGCAAGGAACAGGCGGTTATCTGAGCATAGCTGCAACAGGCGGTCGCCATTATCTGTTCTTTGAGCCACGACACCATAGGATCCACCTAGGTGTCTTTCTTTATCGCTTAGTTTACCTACTTGAGCATTAAAGTCACCGGCCACTATTACTACATCCGAGCGCTTAGCTTTTCGGAGAAGGTCCGAAAGCTTTCTGTAAAACTCATCTTTTACATCATCTGAGCTGCAGTCAGTGGGAGAATAGGCAGAGACGACGAAGAGGCAACGACGAGTGTCCCTATCTTTCCGGATTCTTACTGTTCCGTTCAGTCGGACAGCGCACAAACGACTGTTTACTGGGATCCACTCTAAGAGAGCTAGTTCTGCCCTAGGACTCAATGCTATACCTACGCCGGCGAGGCCACGGGAAGCAGAATCAGGGCTTCCAGATACACGAAGCGTAAATCGAGTCGGTTCTTTATTTTGGCATGGTGAGGTCAAATGAATGACGCTACTCGGATCCTGTATGCGCGTTTCGGAGACGCAGCACACATCGATGGCGCGAGATTCTAAAGTCCTAGCTAAGGAAGCCTGCTGTCCTATTTGGCAAAGTGTTCGTACGTTAAAAGCTCCTACGTGTAGTTTAGAGCGTGGCTTCAGGAGACCAGGAATAGCGTTCCACGTACTCGAATCGTTTGCCCTAGCGGTGCGAGGTGATAAAGAGACGTGAGGAGGGTTAGTCGGGAGGATAAGAGAGGTATTAGGAGGTGTAGGAAGGATTTGAATGTGACCACCTTGGTCTCTTGTGCTGTTACGGGTATGAGGGCTGATGTCACTTCCCGGCTGCCCACACCGTGGAAGGGTATTTCTTGATGAACCTGAAAAGGAAATTGGATTAGTGTTGGTCTTGACGACCTGGGAGCGTGACCGCAGAGCCCAAGGGACAACTGCTTGAGGCCGGTCGCGCACGGCCTTTTTGTGGAAGGTTTTTGACGTGTTAGCTCCGTTCTTCAAGGGGCCTTACCGCCGGAGACGGAAATCCGTGAGGTAAGGTGAGGTGTGCATTTTTAGGGTCGACCTTTTCTAACCCCACCCCTCCTTGTGGGAAGGCAGCATCGCTGTCATGCTGGTTGTCCGAGGGAAACACCTTACTGCTGTCACACCTCTCTACAGTCAGCAGTACGACTTCGCCCTCAGACCTTGAGTTGCTGCTTTTAGTCTTACCGTTCGCCAATCGACCTGCCTGGCATGGTAGAACCTGCAGGAACATATGTTCCAGCCAATATAGCTCGGTTGGGTCATCACGATAGGCAAGCCCGACCACCGCGTCAAGGTAGCAGCTTCGATCATCAAGATCAGTAGCTCTGCATAACTTTAAATTAGTTGGTGAAATACAGTAAAAAAAAATCAGATTCTTGTATTTAAGTTGCTAGTGGATAGTCAGCGAATAATATATGACATTAGTTAAGCAACGCAAGATGATTTCATAAGAATTTACATTCGACAGACAAGCAAGGTACAGCTTCGTCCGATACGTTTATCAAATTAAACTGCTACACTTAACGATAACATAAAGAAGCTGGTCGAGTAGTCAGATGTCAAATATTTAAGTAAGCACAAACAGTGAACACGTTTCAATACAAGTGATTTTGAGGTGTATCACCAGGTCCCTTCAAGAGTATGTCTCAAGTTCAAAGGACCTCAGTAATAAATGGATGACTTGTAATTTCCCATACATATATTCAAGAAAAACCCTCAAAATAAAAAAGATTACTTACAGATCCTAGAAGGTTTTCACGTTCACGTGCAGCAATGAGTTTGGCTTTAGTTTGACGAAACTCCTGAGCATAATCACGAAGAATTTCACGATGTCGTTTAGCTGTATGCAGTTGACTAAGTCTTCCAGCTGCCATATTATTAGAATTGAGCGGGTTTCGTGCAGTACTATCAAAAGAGGTAGGTGTAGTTTCTGTTTCAGGGACAAAAGTTGCCATCCGTTCATTGATTTGGGTAAGTCTGTAGATTAACGAGGTAAAAATTACAAGGTATGTTAGATAATGTGTGTCTGTGAAAATGATATCCCTAGTGAGAGCGTTTAAATAGATTTAGACGAAATATGAATGAAAAAACGGTAATCGGGTTTTATTTACTGACGATGAGTCTTAAACTAAAAAAATACTTGGTACAAACTGTTTTCCAAGTTTCAGTAGTCCCTCTGAAGTTGATCAGTAATAAAAATTACTGAATTATGGATAAACCTACTAACTGGAATTTCTTTGTATTTATAAACTTAAATATATTTAGAAAATCACCCGTATTAATTAAGATTGCTGTGTGATTGGTATCAAAATAAATCTTCCCTTAGTTTTAATCTACTTAATGGGCGATCGTAGAATGCTTTGACCGTTGGTTGTTAAAGTTACTGGAAACTAGAAAAGTTTTTAATCTGACCGGTTTACCAATATTTAGGAGCATACATCCGTTTGCTAGCGACCTCATTAGTGATACTCCTCTATACATGAACACAACCAAAATTTATGCGAAAAGGAGTACTTGATAAGTCTATCATCCTTCTGTGTAGCACCCGTCCGGGTAATCTTTTCCAGTATAGGTCAGTGACTTTAGCGAATAATTTAATTCAATAACACGAGACTCTATTTCTAATTCAAACATATTTCACTTATTACCATACAAAATGAAAAGAGCTTCAGAAACGCTTATAATAGAATACGTTCGACATTTTTACGTTGTTTATGTTTGATAGAGACAGTGAGAATTTCAGATTGAACGATTACCAGGCTAAAACATCTCACTTTTCGAAGGTGAATTTAAGTGAACCATTATCCCAATTAAAGGCAAAATCTTCGATTACAGTTCTTCATTAAATGATATGCCTCAGATGTTGAGACCCTAGATGGAATTCCAATATGGCCCTGGTATGGCCGAGAATGGGGTGGGTCTGTCCTCCCTCTCGAACTGCTCTCGCATGGCCACGCGTATACAGTCTCTGCCAGGGAAGTCATACCCACTACCTTCTCGTGGCGGGGGCGTTGTTTACAAAAATGAGAGGACGAAGAGCGAATGTCCGGCGCCTTAACCGGATACCAAACCAATGGTGCACATGGGCTCCAGTATCCTGAGGGGACAAATGGAGTATGAACGAATCGTTGGTCACCGGCTACCATGGGACTATATCTCCTCACGATGCTCCACTGCCTTGTGGGTCAGACCTTTAGGTCAAAGGTTCGTTGTGTGGCCTCCTAAGAAAACCACCTGCTTCGGTCTGGGCACCCGGGCGGTATCACAGCCCACACACAAATGAAATGAAAATGACGACATTTACTGAAAATTCTGTTCACGCTTCGATTAACAGTCAAACAATTCATATTATTATTATTATTATTTACTACGTAATTTATTCACTCTCCTTTAATTCCCACTTCATGTATCCTTATTTTTCGACTTATACAGCAGCTCGCCTATGGTGGAAATTCGGTTTTATCTAAACGTCCTCGAGTCACTGCCTGGTTGAAAATTGTATGCTACCACCAAGTACGAATACTGATTCAGTTTTTCTGAAACCACATGCACCATTCAAACTAGCTGCCTTCAACGTTCGCACACTTATGCAGGTCGGACAACAGATAGGGCTAGCTATGTCTTTGGGAAGTCTTAATATCGACGTTTGTTGTCTATCCGAGACCCTTATCCAAGACTCTGGTGAAGTACTACAAATTCGCCCTCCACCTGTCGCCTCAAAAAGCTTGTTTTATGTCAGTCAGTCAGTAACAACGTAGAACTTCGTACGTACGTACATCCGTTCGAGTTGCCACACCACCTTAGCACAGAGATGCAGTTGTCGATTCAAATCCCATAGTCTTGTTTTACGTGCGTTTATCTGGAGACCCTGTGGCATCTTCGTCTGATCTCGCTGGCGTTGGTGACGCACTAAGCGCTAGAGTTGAGGCAGCACTAATTGACTGGATTCCCATTAACAGTCGGTTGGTTATGTGCTGTTAGATTAGAAAGTTCCATCAAAGTGAGAAGAAATCGGCGCAAGAAACGATATCTTTTTGTCATCTCCGCCTATGCCCCGACAGATTGCAGCCCGGATGAGTCCTACCACCAGTTAACTGTTCTTCTCCAGAAAGTGCGTTCGACAGATATTGTAGTACTAGCCAGAGACTAATGCTCAGGGCGGGCGTCTAGGCACAGAACAGAGTCGTTTAGGTGGTCGATGGAGACTTGTTGGTTGCAGAACAGATAACGGGGACCGTCTACTGCAACTGTGTACAGACCACAACCTGTTTCTGGCTAGCACTGACCTTCGGCACAGTCATCGCCGACGTGCCACCTGGCGTCCCCCCTCTGCATCTCAAGCCTGGATTCAGATTGACCACATCGCGATCATCTACGGCTGGCGTGGTTGTGTACAAGACTGCCGCTCCTTTTGGAGTACCTATCTGGACTCTGATCATGCCCTGGTCTGCGCCAATCTTAACTTAATTTTCAGTGGCTCCAGGATCCTGAGGGAACGGACGGCGTATGAACCAATTACTGGTCACCGGCTGCTATGTGACTGCATCTCCTGAAGTTGCGCCACTGCCTTGTGGATCAGACCTTTAGGTCGAGGGCTCCGGGTGTGGCCTCCTAGGAAAATCACCTGCTTCGGTCTGGGCAGCATTAAAGCCCACACAAAAATCAAGTGACTTGTGTGGCGCATATGTATTCGGTGCCGCTTTGTACCAAAACTTATGTGTTCAAATGATAATCGATCGCTTCAAAGCACATCACATTAGCTTCACTTAAAAATGAACACCCAGATAATTTTGTTAGAACTATGGGCTATTCTTAGATAGTGTTTTATAAATTGGCTAGTTATTTGATACTAAAACTTCTAAAGAAAAGGCATTGTTCAAGTTTAAAAGTAGCTTTCGAAACGTTGCTACCTCCCTCATGCTGTGGATAACCTCATGTAGACCCAGTAACTACGTTTCATGGATAGATAGGTCACAAAACATCCTAGACAAAGATACTTCGCATACTGCCTTTTAGTCAGTCCACAACGTAGAAATTCGTACGTACGTACATCAGCTGGAATTGACGATTCAAATCCCGTAGTAATAGAGACAGTAAGAGTATAAGCAGTAATCATAAACACTAGGGTTTGAAGATGTTATTTAAAGAGTATAATCCAGTGAAATAAATTTGGGAAGAGAAAAAAGGGATATGAAGAATTCAGAAGATTAGAATTTGGGAGAACACAAAGAGTGAATGTACATGAGCCATAACAAACGATTTTGAGCCATGTCATTCAAGGTCACTAACCATCGGTTGCTAACTGCCTTTGGACAATTCATATCAAGTTAATGTATAACTAGACTTGCATAAGAAGCGCTGACATCTAAAACTGGATTATTCTGGGAGGCAACCAGTTCACGATACACAGGATAGCCCCATAACTATGTATTTCCACACTGAAAGAAGAACCCAGGGATGTGATGGTATCTTATCACTTTTGCTTTAAGATGGTCTAGAAATCGGAAACAAAGACACTAACAAGGGTGTTTACGATGGTATTTCGGTAAACTACTTTCCGTTAGTGACAGTGGAAAAAAAGGCAATATTTGCAATGTTGGTATAATGATGGTGGATTCCATATACGTAAAAAGGTTGTCTCACTACTCCAACATCGCGAACCAAACAAGTTCGGTAGTCCTGAAGATGTCCATCCGTAGACTATAACAGCACAATGTGATATGATTCCCACACTAGAGATGTTGCCTCATGTCACTATACCGCTTGGAATTTTAAGAAGATTGGAAGGACTGAGTCAATGAAAATGGTAATAATATGGGATTAGATGCAAGTGAATAAGCTGATAATCGTTAAAGTAAATTCCAATAATACCATCGTAATCCAAGTATTTGTGCCGATTTACATTACCAGATTATAAATGAAATGTATTTACCTAATGTTACAATTATAAGGATTCATTGGTCATAGTAAGTAACTACTTCAAAACCTCAGTTAACTGTAGGATGACGATTGTTTAGGGATATTTTGAAGTAGTTTAAAAATTGGATCCAAATTAATTTATTGTATACGACATACATGACCACATTTGGGACATGAGATCTAATTAGTCGCGAATTTTCATTGTCACGACCTTACAATTGGGGATAATCTTATACCTTTTATGCTGTGGAACAAAAAACACTTCTGTACCCTCAGAGGATGGCACGGATCTTTAAAAATTCCCTAGTGTGGATATCAGAAAGGTTAGTTAAGTATAATTATTACTGAGGATGAGTCCATACTTTGACTCACCTCTGCAGTTGTTCTTCTATTTCATTGCACATTACGTTGAAGTTTGTGTCGAAATCTACATGTGACGGTACTTCTGGGATTACATTGCTTTTACTGATTATTCCAGAATTGGTAAAACGAGGAATGTGTTTGTGTTCTACTGGTCGAGTTCCAATTTTACCAAAAGCAGCTAATTTTGAATCAATCTCGCTCTCCAGTACTCGAGCTTGTATTCTAAGCTCATCCCAGGTTGAAGGGATCATACTAAAACCGGTGATATTCAAATGTATGGATATCAAACCACGGAATACCGAAACAAAACATTTGCGCTGGCAACAGAACGCAACTGTTGACTGACGCGCTCCAAAATATTCAAATCTCAAAATAAGCGAACAATTTATGAGATCTGAATAACAGTTTTCGAGTATCTGTAAAAATCTTTCATAGGAAATGCTCAGTGAGATTAATAATTGAAGATATTTAGGATAGGCATTCTTAATATCAATGATTCGTTATTCTCCATTATTAATAACCTAATGATAAGGGATTAAGGGAACCATACTAATTCAGTAGCGGTAAATGAAACCCCAGAAAGTAATATTTCTAAGCCTTAGACATTGATTCTGATCTTATTGGTTCTGCTGGACACATCTTAGCTGAAGGCACTTGGCCAATCATTCACAATAGATCACGTTTTAGCACGTCACACTGAACAGCTCTTACAACAACTAGTCTCGAAGCACATAGTGCCCGATGCATCATTCACCTTCCAAATATCTCTCCGAGTGTATTCATTCATGATCTCTGGTTTGACTGGCTTTTATTTCCTCAGTTTAATAGGTATTATAGACAACAGCGTTGCCAGGTAGTGAGAATCAGTGACATCCTTAATCCTGAAGACGCCACAAGTATTTGGAGTTTGACGACACCTTGACTAATAACATCTTCTATAATCGAAACTTGCCCATCTGATGGAATCAGAAGCCAGGAGAGAAAAGGTTCGAAGTTATATCTGATAGACTGTCAATATATGGAGAAGTGACTGATCTAAACTGGCTGGCGTTTGTAGGAGGAATTGAGCACGGCGTTCCCACTCGTGATCTGGTCGATATTCTATAACCCAACTGCCGGGGGATTTGGCTAGGGCTCAATGACATTTCACTGGCCCTACAACCCCCCACACCAGATTCAACGGCCGCTTGAATAGGTACCAAACATGTTAGTAGTCGCGCACCGGAGGTTCCCAAACGACTAATATGAATCCCCGAGCATTGCCGAGCTGTAAGGCAAACGGAAAGAAAAAGAAACTGGCCATGAAACAGCGAGTAATAATACGTTTATAGGACGTTGGCCGGATGTCTAAAGTAAATTGAGGAATGTAGTCCAGTTGTCGAGATTCGGGTGGAGTACTTATCTGAAGATGAGCTTAAAAAGAAGGTAAGAAGTTCGTGATCTGTGGAAAGGGTGGATTCTCGAACCTCAGTAGAATTTTGAGAGTTCCGCGCAGCAAAGCACATGGCTTTGACTTCCATGCCGAAAGTGCTATACCTTGATTCAGTGTCTAGCAGCTGTCTTGAAACAATGTCAAAGGCTGCCAGGTATGGTTAACCCATTGTTGTAGGTCTCCTCCGATTGCCGAGTCAAGTGCGTCTACTGCAATGCTAATGGGCGCTTGGGTGTCCTGGTGTGCAAGCATGGTTGTTTTTGCGATAAGTTCCTTAATTGTGGAGAATGCTTTTCTCGTGTTATCGTCCAAACTGATGGACTTCGCATTTCCACGAAGTCAGTTAGTGACAGATTTCATAAAGGACGCGCACTTTGGTGTGAGCCTTCTATAGAAACTTACAAGGCCGTTAAATGTACGTAGTTGCTTGATAAAGGTCGGTTCTAGGTAATCCATAATAGCCGCCACGTTGCTTCTCAGAGGTCGTATGCCTTGAGCATCAATAGTGTATCCGAGGAAATCTAGGGAGTCAGTTCCAATTTTGCATATCCGAATGCTTACCGTAAAGCCATGCTTTTGCAGTCAAGATCCAGATGCTATCAAGCAATCACCAACGTACGCATGTACGAAGATGTGACCTCGAAAAACGTCATCTATAAACCTTTAGAAGGTTTGGGCAGCATTTCTTAGGCCGAAAGGTATGCTCAAAAATTCGTACAGAACGAGAGGAGTTACGATTCCGGTTTTTGGAATGTCATCAGTGGCCATGTGAATTCGGTTATAGGCTCTAACCAAGTCGATTTTCGAAAAGACAGTTATATCTTTCAAGGTGGCTGCCAAGTCATGAATGTCGGGCAACAGGTAGCGATCGGGAATGGTTTTCACACTCAATCGCTGATAGCCACCAGCTGAACGCCAGTCGATGCTGTCATTTTTAGGGACCATATGCAAGGGAGATGCCCACGAGTTGTTTAACGGCCGAATGATTCCTAAATCTATCATGTGGTCGAATTTGTTTTTAACCAGCCTCAGCTTTTCAGGAGCCAGTCGGCGTGCTTTCGAGAACAAAGCCAATCGTGTGGTCGTGATGTGATGTGTAACATTGGTGGTTATGCACTGTAATTTCGGTTGTGATTGGTATATCCCGGAATACTTATCGAGCAACTGTTGATAGAATGGAGCTATCGTGTGTCTAACTGTGACAGGAGATAATCTGCAACCGGAAAAAGAAGTTACGCGAACAGATAAATTAGTGTTTCCCTCCACTTTCCTCCGTTTGCGTGGTGTAGCAAGTCTATACAAATGCTTGGCATAAAAACATCTGCAACAACAAAAATCCAGTGAATGAATCTGCTTTCCGTTTGCCGCCTGTAAGTTTAAAACAGATTCATGAAGCTGATCGTTAGAATTCGCTGAAGAACGCTAAATTCTGCTTCATTATCGACGAGGCAGCGAACTTTCGTTATCACAGACGAATGAGTTCGCCGGCTACGGTTGCCGTTAACGCGTGCCGGCTGGGAAGTTTCCCGAATTTTTTTTCGTATCGATCGATTTCGAGTTTCGAAATTTGTAGGATGATTTGGCCTGGGCTCAGTAACGTTACACTGTCCCTGCAATTCTCTCAATCCGTAGTGCTGTGAGGATCCAATCTCTCTCGAAACGTGTCAACAGGGGTGTCAACATTACGTGTTCTGGTAGAGGATTCCTTTAATGAACTACTCGGAGAGAGAAATGAAACTTCAAGCGATGAGATTCCGTTTTTCAAACAGTTTTAGAATGTCCCCTCACATGATCATTCCTAGATGGAGGAAAAAATAAGACTTTTGTCATTATAAACATCGTTCAATATAAGCTAAGTCAGCATTAGACCGTCTCGTAGCCTGCGGTAAGATAACGGAAATAAGTTGAGACATTTCATTCCAACTTTATGAAGTGGGTTGTGAAACGTCTCACCGTTCTGGACCATTACTGTTGACCCTACTCTAGCATATCCACTTCATTACTCAAACAAAGATTCGCTGCTTAAATCCCATGTTGTAAATGCAGTTTCACAAACATCAGACATAATACCCTAAACATTTCTTCATCTAGCTGATCTAAAGTCTTAAGAATAGCCATTTAGGCACTATAGTCTTTGGCTGCAACAGCCTTACTGTCACTTCTCGTTACCAGTTATGACTCTAGACCTTTGTAACCAATTGCGTTGGACACTCATTTCATTGACTGTGCAGCTATGTAAATCGTCTTAATAATTTACTTTTATCTCTATAATCATGCTAGAACCAACTTCTGATGGTTGCTTATACATAAATCCAAGCAATGGATTTAGGTCGTCCTACAATATTGTTCTGTTTGGCATACAGTGCACTGGTCTCGAAATCCTAATGTTGTTGATAAAAAGTAGTTTTACAATTCTTTGCCGATTTCTTTACATACGGAAGTCTAGCCTTTCTTATGAAAACTTCGCATGCGTTCCTAGTCTTACAGTGAGTGAAATTGTACTGTTCCAAGCCTGTAGATATCAACAATTTCATTACACTTTCCTACGTCTTGGAAGCCTCTTGATCTCGTCAATTATCATTGGTGGGCAGTTATTTGGTCTGCATGGCACTAAGCTTGTTATAAATGGCGATGTAACTGAGCTAAGTGTAACTTTAAATATAGATCATACTTCTTGGATTGAGTTCGTCCGTTGTTGCAGCACTGTTATAAGCTTGATATGTTTACTTTCCATATATATGGGCGAGCTGAAACCTGATCATCGACTACGACGCAAACCCAGAACGTGAACGATAAAACAGCGTGATCGCCATTAGCTAACTTCGGGAGGATATCTAGGCAGACAATATCAGCTGTCGAATAAATAATTATCAAGTTTAACGAAAAAGACCCTTGGCTTGGATCAAGATACTTTACTAATGCATGGCCCATCACAGTCATCAGGAGCGTACTGTTGAATGTGTTTTGAACTCTACGGTATAAATCTCCGTTCAGTTAACATCAGTTGGGTCAAAATCCCCTATATCAGGTGCGTGCTATTTTCGTCTAATGATTGACTTACTTACTTACGCCTGTTACCCCCAATGGAGCATAGGCCGCTGACCAGCATTCTCCAACCCACTCTGTCCTGGGCCTTCTTTTCTAGTTCCATCCAATTCTTGTTCATTTTTCTCATGTCTATCTCCATTTCTCGGCGTAATGTGTTCTTTGGTCTTCCTCTTTTCCTTTGACCTTCAGGATTCCATGTGAGGGCTTGTCTTGTGACGCAGTTGGGTGCTTTCCTCAATGTGTGTCCTATCCACTTCCAGCGCTTCTTCCTGATTTCTTCCTCCACTGGGATCTGGTTTGTTCTCTCCCACAGTACGTTGTTGCTAATAGTGTCCGGCCAATGGATCTGAAGTATTTTGCGTAGACAATTGTTAATAAACACCTGTATTTTCTGGATGATGGCTTTCGTAGTTCTCCAGGTTTCTGCCCCATACAGTAGAACTATCTTGACATTTGTATTGAAAATCCTGACCTTGGTGTTGGTTGACAGTTGTTTTGAGTTCCAGATGTTCTTCAGTTGTAAATATGCTGCTCTTGCTTTGCCGATCCGCGCCTTCACATCTGCATCAGATCCACCCTGTTCATCAATGATGCTGCCCAAATACGTAAAGGTTTTTACATCTTCCAAATCTTCTCCGTCAATTGTGATTGGATTGGTGCATTCTGTGTTGTATCGGAGAATCCTGCTTTTCCCTTTGTGTATATTGAGACCTACTGCTGCTGAGGCTGCTGCCACACTGTTTGTCTTCTCCTGCATCTGTTGTTGCGTTTGGGATAGAAGGGCCAGATCGTCTGCGAAGTCTAGATCATCCAACTGCATCTTAGATGTCCACTGTATCCCGCGCTTTCCTTCGGACGTTGACGTCTTCATGATCCAGTCGATCACCAGCAGAAAGA